CAACAAGAAACATATCTTCAAAAGCCTGGACATTTCTTCTAGTGTTTATTAGAATCAGAAGATACTTGGATTGAAAAGGAAAATAAAGAGAACAGAGTCAAAAGGCAATGTTCACCCAAAACTTTCATAGCTATGAATCAGAGACAGCCTAAGCTACAGAGTACAGACAGAGATCAGAATGATCTAAAAGTGCTTGCTCCCAACTTTTTAATTTAGATCTTTTTGCAGGATAGACATATATCTTATGCAAATACAAGTCCACCAAGTGTGCATGTGCAGACAGATTTATTTCGCTTTTACCAAGTAGCTCTTTTAATTTTCTTCCTAGTAGCACAATTTATTTACTAAGCCACATTCCACCTGAATATGACTTAAATGCAGTTTTCTTAAAGCAAACAAACAAATCCTTTAAACTCAGGTAATAGAGAAAAGAAATAGAGGCAGTGCAAAAGGAAATAGTAAAGAAGCTCCAAACAAACCTTAAGCTTTTTCTAGCTCCTTAAGTTGCCTGCACAATCACTGCAGACTAGACCTGGGACCCTCCCTTTGCAGATCTCCCAGCTCAAGCGGTGGGAGGGCCTGCCCCCCTCGCTTGCCCCGTGCCAGGGCAGGGTGCTCCAGGCAGGGAGGGTGGAGGAGTGCTCCCCTCTCCTGCACAAAGGGGGAAAATGTCCTTATGCCCTTCTGAAGCAGAGGGAAAGCAACACATTGGTAAATGGAGTTCAAGACCACGCCACTTCGTTTAGATGGATCACAACCCTACTCTTTGTACTCATGAGAAGTGTATCATCAGTTTTTCACCATCAGCCAGGACATAGTTTCTATGGAAATACGTGCTTTAGTAGCTCTTGCTACCCCTGCTGCCCTGTGCCATGTAGCATAAAGATCACTGAAAGATAAATTAGCTGGAAGGACAGGAACAGGATACCCAGAGCTTCTGATTCTCATCAGAACAGACTGACAGTCTCACAGTCATCCTATATGAAATGAATTAGTTGCTGTCAGTCTAGTTCCTGAAGGACAGGGATACACATTGCAACGACGCAAAGGAAGCAGAGACGGAGCAGGTCTTGCTCACGCAGGTGTTGAGGTCCTCCGCAGCGCTGGGGACCATGACCCGCCTTAATCCACATTGCACCAAGTTTACTGCAGAGGGGATTTTCTGCCTCTGCACCTTCAGCCTGGCCCTCTGCCCAGCTGTGAGAGTCACCATCCCCACAGGTAAAACAATTTATTAAGCTGAGATATCAGATGATGCCCTGCTCTACAGATTGCAGCTTACACTGGGATTAGTCCCCGATTTTAACAAGTGACATGGAGGGCCCTGTTGGCCAACTTCACTCTGACCCTGAGATGACTTTGTTAGGTTTTCTCTCCCTTTCCTTCATTTCAAGGGTTTATCTGCAGCCACACAATTTCTGCATTTCTTTTTGTTGCTGAATTTGGATCTTTTCTCCCTGTTGTTTTTTTAAGTCATCTGCCACGGCTTGAGTTACACATCTGAGCATTTGATAAATACAAACACCTTTTGCAGATTGTTTAATCTCATGTATCAGTAAGGTACTTTTATGAAAACGTCTTTCAACGGCCTCTAGCAATACTTCAGTCTATCACAAATACTTAACTCCAGTGTTGTAACAAGAGTCACTCAAACTGACAGATGATGAAATATTTAAACATTAGACTTTAAGAAGCTACCGCCTCTGTCCTGTTCTTGCACACACTGAAACCCTTTTCAGCTATTCTTTTGGGAGCGCCACAGTACACGTCTCATTCAGATGTATCTGGTTTCCTAAACAATGAACTTTCTTGTGTTTGTTTCTCCCTTCGCCCTATTAAATTTGCAGTAAGGTTTGATTACTCTGCATAGTTTAAATCATGCTACCAATGTCAATCCTGATTTGTTTATTCCAACTCATTCCCTTTGATCAGGGAGTGTATTTTAATTATGGCATGCTAAATTACTACGTAAGGAGATTAAATGCTAAGGGAAGTGCTTTTTTTATCCTGAATAACTCAGTGAACAATTAGAAGGTACAGAAAATGTCTGCTGTGAAATAGCCCTGCTTGATAATACAATCAGTGGGATGAAATAGTTCCTTTTGTCAGTGAAACTAGTCTGTTTGCAGAAGTTCACTGTGGCTTTTAGACAACCCCAAGTCAGCCTGTGGGGACCTCTTGCAGATCCCATCCAGCATTTCCCCAGAGATCGTTCCTTGTACCATGACAGCATATGCTGTGATCAGATCAGGACTCTCCAGTTATGAGGAGCTCCCAGATCGCTGCCGTTTGCTCCCTAAACA